TCAAGGAGGGGACGAACATAACATTTATACAAAAGATTCACAGCAGGAAAAGGAAGGAAGTTGGACATGTGGTTTAAAAGAAAAACCCGACCTCGAAATTTGCTGGTAATGTGTTGAATATGGGGGGACAGATTGAGTGAAGGAGTGAGGATGATGCCCAGATGGCGGTGGGAAGAGGGCTGGGTCAGTAACGTACCGGCCATGGTGACCGTCCTGGGATCAGGTGGGTTTGATTTAGGTCTGCAAAAGGGAACATGGACACATTTGTTAGCATTGAAAACTGCTTCAGCTTTATGGGACCAGTTCACACATCTATCAAGGTCTAGTTGCAGGGAGGCAGTGTGCGCGGCGGGTACGACAGTAGGCGGAGAAACGCAGACCATGTTGGAATCATCCGCAAACAGAGTCAGATCGCTGGATTGGGGAATGCTGGGAAGGGAGTTGATAGAAAGGTTGAATAATAGAGGGCCTAGGTGGGAGCCTTGTGGCACACCAGCGGTGAGCGACATATGGGTTGATAAGGAGGTTCCGACCCGCACAGACATCGATCGGCCTTCCAGGAAGTCCATCAGCCACGCGAATGAGTCAGGTGCACACCAACCGGACAGACATGAGGCTAGGAGGCGATGGCTGGTACGATCAAATGCCTTCGAGAAATCGAGAAAGACGGCATCACACTGGGCCCGGTTATCAAATGCAGAGCTGACAGTTGATGTGATATGCACAAGTTGGTCAACCGTGCTTCGGTGGTGGCGAAACCCGAACTGTTTCGGCGACAGTAGTTTGTGTTTCGCTACAAACGCGTACACCTGGCGGCTGATTAACGCTTCGTAGCATTTTGCCACACCATTCAGCAGAGATATCGGCCGGTAGTTAGCAGGGTCATTGCGACTTCCCTTACCCTTGTAAATTGGGGTAACGATTGCAACTTTCCACTCAAGGGGTTGGGATCGGTAAGTGGTGCAGCGGTTAAAGAGAGCAGTGAGGGATTGGGCGAGCACTTCTGCTGTCTCTCGTAGGATCCTGTTAGGAAGACTGCCAGCTGTAGACTTTCGCACACTTAGGGTCGACAGTGCCTTGAATACTTCTACGATAGACAGAGGGCGGATGGCAAATGTTTCCGAAGAAGAAGGCATGGCGAGATCACGATGATCTGCATCCGACGACGGTGTAGCTTGACTATTCTTGGCGAACTGTTGACAGAAGATGTTCGCTTTCTCAGGGTCGGTAACCGCTAAGGTATCGACTCCTTGTATATCAGGTATAGCGGTGTGAGGACAATTGATGTGGCACATTTTCTTGACTCTCTTCCACCAGTCATAAGATCCTCGATCTGCATGAAGGCCTTCTGACATCTGGTCGTAGAAGTGACGTTTAGCTTTACGGATGGCAGCGACGAGGCAGTTCCTTGAAATGCGATAAGCAGCCCAGCACTCAGGGGTATTGACACGTTTTGCTGCAGCAAATAGTCGATCTCGACGTTGACGGAGGCGATGGTGCACAGAGGTGAACCAAGGCTTTCCATAACGATTTGTTCGTTTTCGAACCTTCGGAACAAAAGATAATATGGCTGTGTCAACTAGTGTTCGCCAGGAGACCCATGCTTCATCTGTACTACTGGCTTCTTGTACAGCAGCGAGAAGAGGGAGGCTCCAAAGGTGGTTATTAAGTGCGGGCCAGTCTGTGGCTGCATAGTTGTTCACGAGCAAATCAGAGTGCACTGGTTGCTGGGAACGAGTCTGTATTGCGAGATCAAATACCACAGGACAGTGATCAGAAACAGGGGGAAGTGTGGTGAGGTTGTGGATGAGGAATGGTTGGTTACAAAGAACAAGGTCAAGGAGAGAAGAGCTCTGACCTGCGGCGGAGAAACGTGTTGGGCGGTCGCGTACAAGTTGTGTAAAACCAGTATCATCCAGCAGTTCGAGAAGGCATCTTCCAGCAGCAGTGTTCGGGTCCTGCCTATACCATTCGTTGTGCCGAGCATTAAAGTCACCGAGGATGATAATGGAAGCCGTAGTGTCCGTAATGGAAGAGATGGACTCACGCAAGCCAGAGAGGAAGGTTGAATGATCCTGCCTTGGTGGCCGATAACAGCAGAAAATATAGACATCTTTGTGGCCATTTTTAAGTTGAATGCATAGGATTTCAAGGTTGGTGTTGGCAGGCTCGAGGTCTGCTCGTCTGACGTAGGCGAGTCCTGGTCGGAGTAAGAAAGCAACACCACCGCCACGCAGAGCGACATGAGATGGGCGGTCTCTTCGCACTATGTCAAAAGCGGCAGTTGGCAATAATACAGAGTTAGGAATTTTCTGAGTTAGCCAGGTTTCGGTGATGCCTAATATGTCCATGTCTGAAGTACCAAATATGTTATTAATTTCATCGGCCTTTGGATACCAGCTGCAAGCATTGGTTGTGGCTAGCCGCATATGATGGGGATGTTTGTTTGGTATGAAGGCTGAGGTATCGTATGGTGATGGGAGAGTGAAGGTAGGTGCATCTGGGTTCAGTTGCCCTGACACACTGTTAGATGATGGTGTCGATGTGGTCCTAGTGGGAAAAAAAGATGGGTGCGTGTGGATTCAACATCACAGTTTATGATTTCTTGGGGAGGGGTGGGTTCTTGAACTTCCATTCTCGTGCTGTTACATGCTCGGGCCAGAAATCGTTTTCCAGAACATTTCTTTCGTCATGCTCAGCAACTGTCAGATGTGCGTACAACGTGCCATACACTGTTCTGGAGGGGATCAGTTTACAGCCAGTAACTTCCACATTCTTCTTTCTACAGTACGCAACAAGATCATCAGCACTGCAGTTGATATTGATGCCCCCAACGAATACAACTCTGCGTGTTATTTTCTTACCTCCACGCAGATCTGCGGGCTTCCTGTGGCGGTTGGCGGCTTCACGTACGATCGACCAGTCGTACTTGGTGCTGACAGGCTTGTCAGTAGTACGACTGGCGTTGCTTGTTCGTGATGTAGAGAAGGTACGACTAGCGTACGTCTCGCCCAGAGCTGCGATTTCAAGCCCTGTTGGTGCGGATGCGGGTACTGGTACACCCGTGGCGGGAATGTTTGTAGCTGCTCGGTACGAGTACTCATCCTGGTGGCTGTCGAGGGCGCGATTAGAGACATCGATGGGCTGGTGGTGTTGTGTCAGGGCGCGAAGCTCCTCCCTGAGTTCTGCAATGGCGGCATCTTTTCTTTTCTCCTTTTCGAGAGAGATTTTTCGTAGGTCGGAAACTTCTGCTACCAGGTTTCGGACCGTCTCCATCAGGTCAACCATCATCTTCGTTAGCGCAGTAGCATCAGTACTGGTACATTCACATCCGCCTGCCTGCTTTGTGACCCTGTGTGTGTCGATCTGTTCGTCCAGTGGTTGCAACTTTCCCCTCAGGGCGCCAACCAATTGCACCCGGCTCAGGCCGGCCCACTTGACGTTATTGGCCTTTGCCAGTGACTCCAAGCCTTCACTATCCAAAATTCCGAAGTCAATGGACGCCATGCTCCCGGTTGGGGGAGCAAGACGTCAGACGTAAAAAACTCGCAACCACACTCGTCAACTACGAAACAAGCCAACATGTGTGTGAGCCGAGTACAATCATGCGATAAATAGAACAAATATATAAATTTTGATGCCAACATAATAGTTACGTATAACAATCATGTTCGGGGTTTTTCTACCAGCTACCACGCCTTTGCCTGCTGAGTAATAATAATTCTGTGGATCTTGTATATTCAGAATTCAAGCATTATCAGTGCTTTTTTGGAGCAGAATGCGAGTATATTGAAAAGCAGAATCCATCAAATTCTCCAGCATTATCCGCCGGGACCTAATTTGTGCATTAAGTCGTACTTCGGAGGTAGGAGAATGGTGTCCGTGCACAGACTCATCAGTGTGATTGGTCTTCGGTTGAACCCAGGGAGTCGTAAAATACCGGGAGGCGACACGAGATGCACAACCGCGTCGGATGATTGACTCAGGTCGGGCACGAGTGCTGAGGGAAAAATATAGAATCCCCATGAGGTCAAAGCGGCGCAGGTCATGCACAAAGGACGCGTTCGCTGTTTGGTCCCAAAAATCAAAAAAAAAATCCTGCTTCCAAGGAATCGTCCGAGTGTCAGCAGTTGATTTGGTGATTCTAAGTTTGTGCCTTGACGGTGTAAAGGATGATGGAGCTTGACAGAGACGCCTGCCAAAGTGATGAGTCCACCGTGGAAGATGTAGATGACGCCACGTATCCACTTGGTGACCTGAGTTGTGGAGATGTTCAGCTGTGGACTACTGGTGAGATTCTCTCGTCTGCAGTTTTTGGTCTCGTCTTGTCCTTGTGAACACGAATGTATAATCTGTAGCATACTAAGCGCCCCAAACTCACCCGAAAAATGGGAGTCTGCCCACGGTGCATTGTCTGTTCACTATGACATGTGACAGTGTTGAAACTGTGACAGGATATTATTTTATTCATGTCCTGAAAATTACGTGTGTGCCAAGGTCAAAGGGTACTGATATTCAATGTATACCCAGTGTCAGGGAAGGGGTGCCGCGAGTGCTTCTGTGGCATGGTGTACAGGCCTATGGAAGGTGAAATAATCCATGGAATTTGCGAACTGCTGACAATGAGACAGGCGAGTGTTACTGAGGCGATGGAGTCATTCCTGCATGTTATCAGTGTGGTGTTTGTAACCACAGACATTGTGAATCACCTGAGGGCCAGACTATTGTTGGTAATGCTAGACCTTATGGAAGTGTCGAATGACCGCACTTGGCATTCATCCATTCATGCATGCTAGCTATCTCGTGTGTTTGGACTACCTCCATTATCTTCCTTTTTATATTGCTCTACTCTGTAATATTCAACCAGTTGCGTACTGGACAAGTGAACTACGGTTGTGCTTTGTTTTGGGTGTTGTGAGTCACGGACTAAAACACTACAGTGGCGACGAAGATTTTGTTTTTCTAGTGTGCTCCGAGCATTACTAGTATAAGCTCCGGCTATGGCGACTCATGGACACATTGAGTTGTTTGATGTCACTGGCGGAAACTGGTCGACGTACGAACTACGCTTGACGCAGTATTTGGCAGCCAACGGCATCAATGATAATGACCTGAAGCGAGCAACGATGCTCACGGTCATCGGAGGTCCAGCATTTGAACTGCTGCAAGATTTGCTGGCCCCGGACGCCCCAACTGACAAGACGTTTGCGGAGCTCTGCGCGGCTCTAAAAGGACATCTCGCACCGAAACCACTTGTCATTGGAGAACGATACCGATTCTACCAGAGGGACCAACGTTCAGGAGAATCGATCGCCGCCTACGTGGCTGAACTTCGCCGTTTGGCAAGGACCTGCGAGTTCAATGCCCATCTTGCAGAAGCTCTGCGAGATCGCTTCGTCTGCGGACTGAGGAGTGCAGGTACGCGGAGGAAACTCCTGGCCACGGACGCACTGACTTTCGACAACGCCGTCAAGGACGCGCTGGCTGATGAGCTGGCCACCAGGGACGCTCTGGAAGTCTCCGCGACGGATACGAAGAACGCTAGCGGTGGTGTCCACAAACTTCGCACCCCATCGAGAAAGCCTGTGCCTGGTGCACGATCTACGTGTTTTCGCTGTGGTGGCGTTGGACACAAGGCGCCTGACTGCCGCTACAAGGACGAAGTTTGCAATGCGTGTGGTAAGAAAGGCCACTTGCAGCGGGTTTGCCGAAGCAAGCCAGCTGAGCAGCCAGGAGCGCGACCAACTCCGCGACCCAGATCATTCAAGCGCAAAGGCTCAGCGATGACAGGTCACAACTATTTTGTTTGCGAGCGACGAGGACGACCAGTCCAGCATTCGCTATGTGCATGTCTCCAAGATCCAGTCGAGCGGAAAGCCACCAGCACCACTCACGATAACCGCACAGATCGCGGGACAGGAGTTATCTATGGAAGTAGACACAGGCGCTGGTGTCTCTGTTTTACCAGCCGCAACATACGTGCACTTGTTCTCCGAACACCCGCTTCGCCCAGCAAAACTGGTGCTGCAAGCCTACAACGGTGAATCGCTTCGATCGCAAGGCGTGCTGCGCTTGCCTGTCACCATCAACGGTCAGCAAGCGGAGGCTGAGCTGTACGTGGTCGACTGCGAGGGCCCAGCATTGCTAGGACGCACATGGCTCCAGCAATTTCGCCTCAACTGGACAGAGTTGGCGGCTATCAGGAATGTGAAATCCTCACTCCAGGAGTTACAACGTGACTTTGCAGCGGTATTCAATGATGAACAAGGATTGTTCAAGGGGGCGAAAGCCAAGCTCACGCTGAAGTCTGATGCGACTCCAAAGTTTGTCAAGGCACGATCGGTGCCAATGGCGCTGAAACCCAAGGTTGAAGCAGAGATACGTCGCATGGAGGCTGCTGGCATCCTCACTCCGGTGGAGTGGAGCGAATGGGCAACACCTGTGGTACCTGTTCTGAAGCCAAACGGCCAGGTCAGGCTATGTGGAGACTTCAAGGTGACGGTGAACCCCCAGCTCCGCATCGACCAACACCCGTTGCCGCTCATCGAGGAGATCTTTGCCTCACTCTCCGGAGGGCAAGAGTTTACAAAACTCGATCTGAAGGCAGCGTACACGCAGATGGAGGTGGACGACGAGTCGAAGCCCCTGCTTACGCTCAACACCCATCTGGGTCTGTTTCGACTCAACCGTCTCCCATACGGGATTGCGTCTGCTCCCGCGCTATGGCAACGAGCCATGGATTCTCTGCTACGAGACCTGCCAGGCGTTAAGTGCATGATCGATGACATCATCGTCACTGGCCGCACACCGGAGGAACACCTCAAAACGCTGATGAAGGTGCTCCAACGTCTCGCTGATGCGGGCCTCAAACTCAACCTGGCCAAATGCCACTTCTTTCAGCCGAAAGTGGAATATTGCGGCCACGCCATCAGCGCACAGGGCCTGCACACGATGCCGAGCAAGGTTGATGCAATTTGTGATGCTCCACCGCCGGAGAATGTGCCGCAAGTACGCAGTTTTCTGGGGCTCATCACCTACTATCAACGCTTCATTCCGAAGATGTCAACTATCCTGAGTCCACTAACAGCGCTGCTGCAAAAAGGAGCGGCGTTCGAATGGACAGATGAGTGCCGACAAGCCTTCCAAGAGGTCAAGCAGGTGCTGTCATCCCAACAGGTGCTCACACACTATGACCCGACACTGCCCGTTCGTCTCGCAAGTGATGCGTCACCATACGGGGTTGGAGCGGTCTTGTCGCACATTCTGCCATCTGGAGAAGAGCGACCGATCGCATATGCCTCTCGAAAGCTCTCGAAAACGGAACAGGCATACTCACAGATCGACCGTGAAGCGCTCGCAATAGTGTGGAGTGTGAAACGCTTCCACAACTACCTGTACGGCCGGCATTTTGAGCTGCTCGCGGACCACCAGCCGCTGGTATCAATCTTCCACCCGAAGAAAGGCCTGCCTGCTATGACCGTAGCACGTCTTCAACGCTATGCGATATTCCTGGCCGGACATGACTACACAATCATGTACCGCCAAACAGACAAGCATTGCAACGCCGACGGATTGTCACGCCTGCCAGTAGGAAATCCTCCGGCACCAGATACGGCAGAGGAAGCGGTCAACATGTTCTACATGGACCAATGCGAACCACTCCCAGTAACAGCGGAGCAGATCAAGGAGGCAACAGCCAGCGACCCGCTATTGCGTGAGGTCCATCACTATGTGCAACAAGGTTGGCCGAAGTCGTGCCCAAGAGCAGAGCTACAGCAGTACTTCCAACGCCGCAACGAGCTCAGCGTTAGCAACGTGTGCTTGCTATGGGGCAATCGCGTCATCATTCCGCCGGACCACCAGAAAGCTGTCCTGACAGAGCTTCATGAAGGCCATCCAGGAATGGTACGAATGAAGGCATTGGCGAGAAGCATCCTCTGGCGGCCGGGCTTGGACGGCGACATAGCAGACGCAGTCAAAGCATGCCTCGGATGCCAAAGTGTCCAGAGCGAACCTGCTGCAGCACCAGTGCACCGCTGGAGCATGCCAGACCGCGCGTGGCAGCGCGTCCACGTAGATTACCTTGGTCCATTGTGGCAAACGATGTGGCTCGTCATTGTCGATGCCTATTCAAAATGGCCCGAAGTCATTCCGATGCCTTCCACAACGTCTTTGGCTACCATCGCGAGTCTCAGGACAGTATTCGCCAGATATAGTTGCCCAGACCTTATCGTCAGCGACAATGGTCCACAATTTGCATCTGCAGAGTTTGCCGAGTTCCTCGCCTCGAACGGCATCGCTCACAGACGCTCAGCGCCGTATCATCCAGCGACGAACGGCCAAGCTGAAAGGTTCGTCCAGACCTTTAAACGGGCAATCAAGGCAGTACCGCAGTCAACGCCTGCACAGATTGCTGCTGACCGGTTCTTGATGAGCTACCGCCGAGGAGTCCATCCGGCTACAAACGCAACGCCTGCGAAGCTGTTCCTAGGCCGTCCGCTACGATCACGTCTGGATTTGTTGGGACCGTCAACGGCACACCGGAACGCCAAGACGCCCACCGAAGAGCCTGCTGGCAAGGCACGAACCTTCGAGGTTGGAGGCGCCGTTCTAGCACGCGATTACCGGAACGTCAACCATCCCGGATGGATCCCAGCGACCATACTCGAGAAGCTTGGGTCTCGTACGTACATGATTGTCACCAGCCAAGGCGCACAGTGGAAGCGACACCTGGATCAGCTACGTGCGGGACACCCGTCCTTCCTAGTGGATGAGCCGACACAATCTGTGGCTGCACCATGTCTCCCTCCAGTGCAGCACCCGACCGCAGCAGAAGCACCCGAGCCTGAGCCGGCTGCAGTGCCACAACAGCACGAGGCTGACGCTACCAACGACACAACTGACGCCTCACCGACTCCGACTCTACGCCGATCGTTGCGGACACGCAAGCAAGTGTCTCGCTTGTGCCTGTAGAAAGTAGAAACAGTCCCGGTCATGTTGATCATGTCAGAACTACACATCACTGTATGCTCATGTTTCTCTGTCTCAATCTTCATCTTGACGCTTACGATCTTTACTCTAGTCCTAGAAGTATGTTCCATTTTAGAAGGGAGGACTGTGGTGTTTGTAACCACAGACATTGTGAATCACCTGAGGGCCAGACTATTGTTGGTAATGCTAGACCTTATGGAAGTGTCGAATGACCGCACTTGGCATTCATCCATTCATACATGCTAGCTATCTCGTGTGTTTGGACTACCTCCATTATCTTCCTTTTTATATTGCTCTACTCTGTAATATTCAACCAGTTGCGTACTGGACAAGTGAACTACGGTTGTGCTTTGTTTTGGGTGTTGTGAGTCACGGACTAAAACACTACAATCAGGACCCAGTTACACAAGGCATCAGGTTTTGGAAATCTGCTACGCCAGGAAGTGTGCCAGCTGAAGGCATGCAATGGTGCTGGCATTTCGCAAGCATGGCAACAAGTGCTCTCCAGCATCTCAACAGCTTTTCCCAAAGTGAAGCTCTGTATAAGACACAATATGACACGGCTAAAAACAACTGAAGCAGTGACATGTGAATGTTGCACGAGCATGCGTGTGTGTGTGTGTGTGTATGTGTGTGTGTGTGTGTGTGTGTGTGTGTGTGTGTGTGTGTGTGTGTGTGTGTATGTATGCGGCTGTGCCAAAGCCTAGAGTGTTCATTTGCGGCTGTGGCAGGGACTTCCGTCGGCCCAATGATCTAACTCGCCACAGGAAATACTGCAACTCCTGATGCTACCATTGCACGGAGCAATGGGCATCCAAAGGTCCAAAGGTGTATGTGTGTTGTGCATTGGTGGTCGATTCACATGGCTTTGCCAGTTGTGTGGATTATACAGTTATCTGATGTAAGTCCTGATCTCTCTCATTCAGATCTTGTTCGCTATCGTTGCTATAAGAGAAAATCTGTCAGTGCACATCCAGTGCATTTGCAGACTTGCGTTCTTCTCTTGCGACGGGCATATGCATGGTATGTGTGTGCGTGCGTGTGTGCGTATGCTTCTGTGATAAGTGGATCAAGCAGTATACAGGGTATTTACGGGTATTCGCCTTGAGTGCATTTGCCGATAGCGTGACTTTCGTCGCAGAGAACTTTGCTCAGTCGGTCAGGCGACTCGGCCGTACATTTCCTGAAGGCAATGTGTTCAGAACACAGTTACTTCAAGTATGAACAGCTATGAACATTTAAAAGAAATGACAAATATTGTGTGTAGTTCATGGACCATAATGTGAAACACTTTGAATGCAGAAGAATGAGGATAGTGGCATCAAATGCTGCATAGATTCTGTTTGATATGCTACTTTTTTTCCCTTCCATGAAAAGGTGAGTGCATCATCGATCTTCATCTCGAAACTTCACACAAACCGAGAATGGAACTTGGACAACATGAAGGGGCCATGGGCATGGTGTGTTTAGTGGAGAACTATTCCGAAAACAGGGTATCATTCGTATATACAGTGTACTTCAGCGCCGTATACTTCAGCGCCGTGTACTTCAGCGCCGTGTACTTCAGCGCCGTGTACTTCAGCGCCGTATACTTCAGCGCCGTATACTTCAGCGCTGTATACAGTGTACTTCAGCGCCGTGTACTTCAGCGCCGTATACTTCAGCGCCGTATACTTCAGCGCCGTATACTTCAGCGCCGTATACTTCAGCGCCGTATACTTCAGCGCCGTGTACTTGACCGCCGTATACTTCAGCGCCGTATACTTCAGCGCCGTATACTTCAGCGCCGTAAACTTCAGCGCCGTATACTTCAGCGCCATGTACTTCAGCGCCATGTACTTCAGCGCCAGCAGATAAGCGCGGGATATCTCTGCGCCAAATAAATCAGAGCCAAATACGAAAAATGAAAAATTGGAAAATACGCACAAAGTCTCGTGGCGGGCCTTAGTAAAGTTTTCTGCGGATTTTCAATTCTCCTTTCCTGCAAGTTGTTAGCACAAAGTTGCGAATGTTCATCCGATGTTTATCACTTCATAACGTGCAGGAAAATGTTCACACATTTTCGATTTTCAGAACCTCTCTAACATCACCTACCGTTATTTATCGAGTAATACGATATACACATCCACTCTCCGGCAGAAGTACAGCGGATGCTGTGTACTCCTACAGATGGTTGGCAGCAAGATGCCAAAGAGTAAAGGAAGATATCGCCATTTTGGGAATTGATATGTCGAAAGCCTTTGACACTATTTCAAGACCAAAGCTCATGAACGTGCTGGAGACTATTGTGAACCGGGACGAATTACATCTTATTCAGTGCTTACTTACGGATACCACCATTAAAGTACGGCTAAACAACATCCTGAGCCAGCCACTTGAAACATACAATGGGAATCCACAGGGAGATTCTCTGTCGCCGGTATTGTTTACGATATACCTGGAAGCTGCGTTAAGAGAGGTACGAAACCGTCTACCGCCGCGACCAGACCGAGACGTCCAGCTGCTTCTGCCCGAAGAGTCGGAATATGCAGATGATGTGGACTTCATCAGTACCGACCAAAAGTATATAAAAGATTGCCTTCCTACAATATCCTCTTCGTTAGCAGAGTGGAACTTGAAGATGAATGAGGGGAAGACGGAACACACCATGATAAGCAGACAAAAGGATCGAATAGAGGAACAGTGGCGACACACAATAAAGCTGGGCTCGATGCTTGGAGTGGATGAGGACATAGGCAGACGAAAGCGGTTGGCTACAAGCGCACTTCACCGGATGTGGGTGATATGGCTGAGAGGGCAACACATCAGAGAGTCTCTACGAGTGCGCCTCTATAATAGCTTCATTCTACCAATCCTGCTTTATAACTGTGGCACGTGGAGCCTCACGGGGACACAGGAGCGGAAATTGGACTCGTTCCACAGGCAGCAGCTGCGAACAGTGATAGGCATTAAATACCCGCTCATAATAAAGAACACTTCCCTGTATAAACGCACAGAATCTCGCCCCGTGAGCCGAATCATCAGAGATGCCAGATGGAGGCTGTTTGGTCATGTGCTGCGTTTGGAAGAGGCAGCCCCAGCCAGACGTGCCATGGGAGCTTACTTCTTAGGGGGTAACGGCCCCAGCTTTAGGGGACGCCCAAGAACAACGCTCCCGCGAACGCTCAATAATGATCTCAAAAAGCTGAAAAATAATACCGCCCTAGAGACTGGCGATGACTTGAACATGCTGCAGCAGCTTGCCCAAGACCGTCGACAGTGGCGGGAACTGGTGAAGGCTGTATGTAGCTGCTAATGAAACAATGGACATAATTTATACCTTTATATATAGATAATGGAGATGACTGAAACAGGCTGCAGCAGCTCGCCCAGGATCGCCCTCAGTGGCAGGACCTGGTGAAGGCTGTATGTAGCCGCTAATGCAACAATGGACATAACTTTGCGTTTCCATCTTGTCTTTTTTGTGATTGTGATGCTTGATGTGCACTGTGCTTCCTCGCATTCACTTGCTCCTTCTTGCAGCTTGTCTCTTTTTTCTGTTTTTTTTGTTGTTTTTGTTTTGTTTTGTTTTTTTTTGTTTTGTTTTTTTTTGTTTTGTTTTGACGCTCTGTGTGCATTGCGCTTCCTCGCGCTCACTTGCTCCTTCTTGCGGCTTAAGCGAAGGCTATATGTGAGCTTTATAAGCTCACTGATGCTAACGCGAATAGAGCATAATAATAATAATAATACTCTCCAGGTAGAAAATTGCACAGGCGTGCACATAACCATGCATGTGAGTGCTGACCTAAAACACACGATGGGTTCAGTGTGCATTATGCCAAGAAGCAAGCAAACGACACCTCAAAGAGCCAGTAAGATAATTATGATTGTATCCCCCCCCCCCCCTCCCCATTAATAACTACACAATACAGCCCCAGTTCATGCACACACGCCATGCACGCGCTAATACATCTCTATTATACTTTCAATCACAACCTCTCAGTTTTTGCCCAGATCATCACTTCTCACCCACCTTCACATGATTGCTGACTAGCACACCATCCACCTGACACCCTTACCCTATCAATCATAACTTGCCGCATTTGGAATGGTCTATCTTGTACGCACGCCAACACCTATGATTAATATATACTCCTACACCCCTACAATTTACTCTTTCTCACATGTATCGATCCGCAGCTCTTATCCTGCGTTAATTCCAGCACCACTAACTATCTGTTTTCACTCACAAAGCGACTGTTCAGTACATGGGGTAGTGGTCTACCAGAGCAATCACACTCACCACCGTGGTGGTTTTCCAGAAATGAGTAGAAGCAAAAAACCACACTCGCAGCCACATAATAGATAAATAGCCGAAAAACATCTAAATCCATCAAAGAACCGCCAGCAAGCGGGAGAAAAGGCCGTGAAATCAAGTGAAACAGCATGGCCAGTGGTGAGCATGGGTGACTGGGCAGCAGGGGAGCGCCTGAAAAACAATGACTCCCTACATTCCTAGCCGCGACCGCTCAACCGGGCTAGAGGAAAAACACGCCTTTCGGCCAAAAAACCTTTCTATTTCATTAATTCCTGCCCCGCTGCCAGTCAGACCCAAGAATAGAGATAGCAAGAAATGGTATGTAATAACCGGTGTATGTCATAATCATAAGCCACACACATAGGCATAGATTGTCAAGAAGAACAGCGGACGACTCCCATGAAACCAGGGTGGGTGGGCGGGCAACTTCAACTACCACGAGGAAAAACAAAGACCACGATGGCAGGTTCAACGGAGTGCGCAGAACAAGAGCAAATGCACGAAAATATTTGTGAGTCAAAAAAAAGGTTTTTTGCTTATCAAAAAGCCCCCCCCCCCCCAGTGCATGCACACTCACATTACACACTCTTCTACTTTAGATCACAGACTCTCAATTTTAGCCCACATTACCACACCTCACCCGCCTTCAGCTGATGGCAGACTACTGCAGCACACCATCACCCTGACACACCTATCCTATTGAGCATGACTTGCCACATTTGCAACGTCTATCTTCCACGCACACCAACACATATGGTTAGACTACGCACCTACACCCCTAACAAGTTCCTCTTTCTCACCTGTATCGACCCGCAGCACTAACATTGCATAACTCCAGCACCACTAACAGAGGGACATTCCCACCTACACCTCAACATCGAATCTCATTACCATCAACTCCCTATTAACTCGTACCACCACCCAGATTCATGCCTATTCACTGCAACCCTTGTTCAGAACCTCTCCAATTTGTTTCTGTGCCGACTTATGAATTATAGTCTTTGCCATGGACAATAGCAACGCAGGCAGGATGAGCCAGTTTACCTTTGATCAACTCAGTCAGAGTGGTGTAGCTTCAAACCACTATGCTCACGACGCTTTGTTTCCACAAGACCAATCACGCAGCGCATCGACACCATTCTCCTACCTACAAGGTTTGGCGGCACCAAATCTTCAGCTTAAGGATCACGAGCACCATGACAACTTGTTTGATGGAGTACTTTTGTCCTCCTTGCCAGAAGTCTTTACGGGCACGGGCTCCAATATGAACACACGACTCGTACATCATGATGCGTTTGCGCATTTGGGTGATAGTAAGTTGACGGCAGCACCAGCGCCAGCAATGGCCTCACAGTCAGGCCGACAGCATCTCCAGCCGCCAAATAGTCCCGGCTTACTTGAATTGCTACCAAGTCAACACGAACTCAGCCAGTCACTACCACAGAGTAACGTATTCGGAAAGCAGCCGTCGATGAAAGAACCTGAAAACCCAGCGACAACATTCTCCAAGGTCCAAGGTCAGGCGGCACCGATCCTTCCGCATAGCCTAATGCCGGATAACCAGCAACATTCCAACAGTTTGAGTGATGCAGCACTCTTTCCGTTCCCGCCACAAGTTTCTAAAGGCGTCGGCTCATTTGGAAATATAGGATTCCCCTCATGATGTGTTTGCGCCTACTGGTGACATGAATGCGATGGTCGTGTCAAGGCAAGGACGACAACATATTCCAAGTTTACCGGAGATGCCACCAAGTCGTCGTCACCTCAGTGAGCCACTTCCAAAGAGCATCCTACTCGGCCAGCAGCTGTCAATGAAAGAACCCAATAACTCAGCGACACCATTCTCCTTTAACCCAGGTGCGGCGGAACCACTCATTCAGCCTAACCTATTCAACGGCTTGAGTGATGCAGCAATCTTTCCCTACCTGCCAAACGTCTCTACCGCCATACCCTCCGATGTAAATACAGGATTAAATCATGATTTTTTTGCGCCATCGCGTGGTAGTGATGTCTTGCTATCACCATCACTAGCAAGAGGCCTACAACAACAACGACTACAACAACATCACAAGCCGCCACATATTCCAAGGTTACAGGTAATGCCACCACATAAACACGACCTCAGCGAGCCACTACCACAGAGTTACTTACTTGGACAGCAGCCTTCGACTAAAGAACCTACAAAATCTGCCAAAGCCAAACTAGTCTGCCCGGAATGCAAAAAGAGTTTCTCGTATCCGTCGGCCTTCAAAAGACACATATCAGTGCACACTGGCGAGAGGCCATATCCTTGCATAGAGTGTGGAAAAACCTTCAAGACGAATTATAATCTTAATGTGCACAAGAGAACACACACAGGTGAGAGGCCATATCAGTGCATAGAGTGTGGAAAAACCTTCAAACGGAAGTGTCATCTAACTGTGCACAAGAGAACACACATAGGTGAGAGGCCATATCAGTGCATGGAGTGTGGAAAAACCTTCAAGAGGAAGTATAATCTAACTGTGCACAAGAGAACACACACAGGTTAAAAACCATATATGTGCACAATCCCGGGATGTGAACAGGCATTCTCACAGTCCTTCGATCGCAACCGGCATGTTCGTCGCCACAAGGCGAATATTGAGAAGCAAGCCAAACCTGCAAGTGGATGCAACTGAACAGACACTGCTCTATTGGACCAGCATCTCCAGTTCAAACACGACAATGTCGGCAGGAGCACCAAATCAGAAGATAACAGCGCCAGGAAATGATGTTATAGGGGTGTACGTTTTTGGAAACATGATTTCTGTGCTGGCGTGCACTGTGTGGAATTTGAGCAATAGAATGATCCGACAAGTGTGTGTGTGTGTACATGTAGTATCCTGGCCTAAACTGCATTTGCTGCTGCAGTCATCCTAACACCCTCCGCTATCAACACCCTCACGTCTTTGATTGATATATTGCAAAACAGTATAATTATGTACAGGGTATTATATTGGTTTTCGGAATGATTTAATTCCCCCTGTCTCCTGCTTCCCCTGTCTCTTGTCTCGCGTATAGTTTTAGTCGCATTTTGGATTGTCGAGTTTTGCTACAATGTTACCTTGTTGGTTTATGGCTTTTCTCTTTTGCTGTATTTCCTGTTGCTGCATGTTGCTGTTGTGTATGTGGAATGTTTTGGTCGTTTATTCCATGTACCCGTTTTGGATTTGTGAATTCAAAAAAGGTAAACAAACAAAGAAACAGGGGAAAATGTGTTGCTCCCTACATGGTAGCTCGCGGTTTTCCTGCCGACTTGAATTCTCACTACAAACAATCAACATCAAAATATATTTGTGGATTGTCATTAGGCACCGGCGGATTATGCCGGCATAATTATTGGCATAGTTTGGTGGTTGAAAATTTGTAGCATAATTATTATTTGGCATCCTTTTGGAGGTAGGAGCATAACTACATGATTGTACCACAGGTCTAGTATGCAGGCTACACAACTGTGTACAATGCACCTAATCAGTGTCTGCTCCAGGATTGTAAGACAACCGGGTACACGTGTACCTGGCGCAACCAATTCAACCGGGTCGGAGCCGGGTACACATGACGCCCAATGATATAAAGGCTAATGGATAAGCCGCATTTAGAAAAGAGAGGACAGGAATTAGAAAATTGCGAAAGAAGAAGAAGTATCTGACACATACATGTACAAGCCATGTAGTCAGTCCTTTCAAAGTTCGAAAGTGTACAGTACCAACCGGGTCACAGGTGACCCGGTACTATATTTTAAACCAGGTCCAAGCGCCGCCCAACCGGGTGGATTACCCGGCTCACCCGGCGCCGGAGCAGACACTGCTGATTAGTCCTGGTGGTCTGCATGGTAAAGGGCTTGAAGTTGGAGGCACTGCATGCACTGCAGAGAGTGTTTTCAACTTTTCAATGAAAAGGAGGGTAGAAATCATGGCAATACATTATTGTATGGTCGAACTCGGCTCCTTCAATGTTCTCTCTCAGACTGATACAGTACATGTAGCAGAAGATGCGAGTGAATCAGCCTTTATCAGGTATCCTGGGGCGGACGAGATAGTGACGGGTAGTCCGCAAACTGACTCTGCGTACATGTACGTTATTCATGTTACGAAGTCATGACCTCTGGATTTTAGCAGCCATGTCTGTGCAGGCTTCGGACATTGCTATAATAATTAAAAGAAATTGAGGTATAGTTGGTGTTCGGTCATGATTGAAGGAGAGGTGGAGCTACGGAAGAGATGAGCTGATTATTCGCAGGGTGAGGGTGACATATCGGTTGGACGAGTATGACGATTACGAAGACAGTTAAACATGATAATTTTCAAAGGTAACTCAAACTGATTTGGCAATGAAAACATATTTTTACTAAGGTACAAATGAAGTCAAAAGTCAACTAATGAATTTATTAATGCGATTAATAGTATAAGTGAAGCGGACATTACAAAATGATGAATGAGAATACATGTATCTAAAATGGTTGTTCCTAATCGATTTTCTTGAGACTATCATCAGGGATAAATAGAGACTATACGGAGAAACAAACTACTTATAGGTTATAGGATAGTGGGAAGTATACAAGGCGAGGTGTGAAAAGAAAAAAATATAGTGGGAGAGAAGACGAAAGAAATTAGAAGAAAAGATGTGAGAGTGTTCCGACGGTGTGAGCTACTACAAAAGGTGAGTGAAATGAAGCTGATGATAGTCTCAAGAAAATCGATTAGGAACAACCATTTTAGATACATGTATTCTCATTCATTATTTTGTAATGTCCGCTTCACTTATACTATTAATCGCATTAATATAGTTATCCTCGTCGCCTTTTCATTTAATGAATTTATAGAAGTAATGTTTTCCCTTTTCCATGATAATCACTAGCGGCATGCATGGACACCTTGGTATAGGGTAGGCTCCGGCGGATTATGCTCACGAAATCATGCAATGATCATGTCCAGATTAACATACGCGTTCAATGCAATCTATCCGTCTCTGATGGCCAGAAACATGGACATGACGAAAGCTGCAATCTGCAATTCTTTGGCTTTCCGCCGTGGACTTCCACTGCAGGGCTCTTCGAGAGACTCTGTCTTCCTACCCTCGAGGACGCCCTGGCAGCGAAAATCCTAATATTCGTTCGCTGCTGCATTCATGGCCATTCAAGTGTCCTGTTTAGGAATTACTACGCCAGAACAGAGTGATTGCACCCGTGGAGCTGACCAAAACGATCCAGTTCATTGGTGCCATTCTCTGGAACAAGACACCGCCCATGATGCGCTGTGAACCTTGTCACGCCCATTTCTGTGCTCTCTCGAAAGCGTCAAAGTATTCAAAATAGGTCATTTTTTTATCTGGTTACCAATGGTCAATCCTTCGGTCAGTTTCGCTTTCGGTTTTCAACAGTGTTCTTTTTCCCGCAGATCTATCTGTAACCTATTCAGTTACCTTCACTGACTCTTTCACTTGTGATTTTTTTCTCCTCCTCTCCCCATTACTATTATTATTAAATGTGTCATGTCGCTCACATGTATAAAAGAAGGCGCCATCGCCTGTTTGTGTTGCGACTTTAAATAAAACTCAACAACAACAACAACAAATCATGGAATTATGCTTTCATGGATTCTCGCATTATGCTCGAAAAATCCTCATATTATGCTTTGGCACGCGGGGATACATATTCACTCTGTTGTACTTAAGGAGCCTCAAAGTTAGGGAAATGGTGCCTTTTTCGTACTTGCAAGTGGCCATAAGTACAACGAAATACACGAGTATCCCCATACCAGGTGTCCATGCATGCTAGAGATCAACATGGAAAGGAGAAAACATTACTTCTTCTATATTCATTACCTTGGACGACTTTGGTAATGGTCTTGCAGACGGCACTGTCATCATGGCATGGACTTACCCTCCACCAGCGGCTAGATGCTGACGCAGTCCGCACAATGGCAGCGGACCAACAGGCATGGCGTGGAGCCCGCCCCACCTTACAGGACTGATTCTCGTGATCCACGTGATTCTCGTGATCCACGTGATTCCGCCAGACATGTTGTACGCATATTCTATTTTATTTTAAACTTTGGATGAAGTTTTCCATTAGTCCTATTGGTATTGTTGCTAACGGATTTTGTTGACGTCACTTCTGTCATTTCATTGTATCATTGTATCGTATTACTCTTCAGACATCAATCCTGAATGACATAAGCGAAAGTGGCACCCCCGCCACCTACACGGACATGCTTTTAATAATAATAATATTCATTAATTGACTTCTTTAAAGTTCTTTTGTAAAATGATGTTTTCATTGGCAAATTGGTTTGAGATACATGTACCTTTATTATCATATTCAACTGTCTTCGTAATCATCATACTCGTCCAACAGATGTCACCCTCACCCTGGGAATAATCAGCTCATCTCTCCCGCAGCTCCACCCCTCCTTCCATCATGACCGAACATCAACTATACCTCTATTTTTTTTATTAGAGCAATATCCATAGCCTGCACAGTCATGCCGGCTAAAATCCAGAGGTCATGACTTCGTAACATGCATAATGAACATGTACATGTACGCAGAGTTTTGCGCACTACCCGTCACTATCTCGTCCGCCCGGGATGATAAAGGCTGATTCACTCGCATCTTCTGCTACATGACTGTACTGTATCAGAGTGAGAAAGAACTACTTTGAAGAAGACGAGTTCGAGCATACAGAAATGTATTGCCATGATTTCTACCCTGCTTTTCATTGAAAACACTATCTGCGCGGCCCCAGCTGCTGCATGACCTCCGAATCCTTTACCATGCAGACCACCAACACTGATCAGGTGCCATTTACACAATTGTGTAGCCTACATACTAGAACTGTAATATAATCATGACATTGTAGTTATGTTCCTACCTCCGAAAGGATGCCAAATTATGCTCCAAATTTTCAACCACCAAATTATGCCAATAATTAAGCCGGCATAATCCGCCGGTGCCTAGTATAGGGATACTCGTGTAACATATTGTTGTACTTATGGCAGCTTGCAAGTACGAAAAAGGCACAATTTTCCGAACTTTGGGGCTCCATAAGTACAACAAAGTGATTATGTATCCCCACGTGCCAAAGCATCATGCGAGAATCCATGAAAGTGCTTCCTCCCCATCTCACGCCACCCTGTATCCCAAAGTTCAGACCTGTATCAACGACATTGTTCACTGGATGAGCACTTGGTTCCTTAAGCCAAATGTGACCAAAACCGAGCCCCTCCTTTTTCCCCCTCCCACAGATCCAGTGCCCATCTTCCACTTTCCCGATGATCCGGGACGATGGAAGTCAGCCACTGTCATTCCAGTGTACAAAATAAAGGCGACAAGAACAACCCGTCTAATTACCGACCAATCTCCCTCCTGTCCTGCGTCTCCAAACTGCTAGAGAGAATAGTGTACGATCGCTTGTACGACCATATCTCCCCTCTTCTTCACCGCGCACAATCTGGCTTCCGTCGTAAGAACAACACATCCCTGCAATTGTCCCGCATAATCCAAGACCTCTGCTCCCTAAAAGACCTGCGGCAGGTCTCCTGCATCTGTTTCTTCGACCTCTCCAAGGCCTTCGACACCGTGTGGCACAAGGGCCTGATCGCCAAACTTCGTGCCCATGGTGTCTCCGGCTCCCTAATCGCCTGGATAACTAGCTACCTCTTGGACCGAAATCAGTGCGTCACAGTAAATGGAACCTTATCTGACCCCGAGTCTGTGACATCCGGAGTGCCCCAGGGCTCCATTTTAGGTCCCCTGCTCTTCCCCACATACATTAATGACCTCCCCTATTCAATTCCCAATATTTCTTTGTTTGCAGATGATACCACTGTCCTTGCTTCCTCCCCATCTCACGCCACCCTGTACCCCAAAGTTCAGACCTGTATCAACGACATTGTTCACTGGATGAGCACTTGGTACCTTAAGCCAAATGTGACCAAAACCGAGCTCCTCCTTTTTCCCCCTCCCACAGATCCAGTGCCCATCTTCCACTTTCCCGATGATCCCGGTCACCCTATCTCTGTAGCACCCCACCATAAACACCTTGGCATTGTCATAGATTCCGCCCTTTCCTGGTCTCACCATGCTGATCATGTGTCGTCCAAAGTATGCCGATCTGTCGGCATAATGTCAAGTCACT